CCCCTCCCGACCCCCCCTCCTCCGGAACCTCCCGACCCCCCCTCCTTCGGCGGTGTCCGTTGCGGAAATCAGTTTAAAAGGTATGATTTTTCTACTGAGCTTTAGAAATTTCAATTTTATTATTAATTATTGTTGAATTTGGTTAAAAACCCTAATTATGTTGAAAAATAAACGAGTTCAATTCTGAAAATCCTAACTTAATTAAATACATGTTAATTCATTTGAACAACACTAGTTATCATTATTGAGTTTTAAACACTTATAAACCCTAACTCATTTAAGTTTCATTCGTGCTATAAGTATGTGTGATTATTTAAGTTTGTGATGTGAAAATATGTGAAATAATTTTTTGTAAAAAATAGAGTGATATATAACACATTATAAATTTTTATAATGTGTTATAATCCAATTTAGGTGAATAAAAAAATAACGTTATCCCTAGACTTCCGTCCAATAATTACATCCAATTATTTGGACTTATAATATATGATATACGACTCAGATTTGGGTAGGAGACGAAGTTTTCTTCCAAAAATGAGCGTTTATTTTATATTATAGGAATAAAAAATTGGTACTGAAATTCGTAATTATTGGATCTGTCCTTCTCGGACGGGTTAGGAATATAGTAGTGCATACATCCAACTTTGTATACTTTGTATATTTTCATTCTTGAAAGTTTTGGCAGCACGTATTCGTTGTTCTCCGTGTACAATAAGCGTATGTTGTTCTGCGTTTCGGGCTATTGCTGATACGCATAATAACATCCGCACAGTGTACAGGGAGAACAGCGGGTAGGTGCTGCCGAAATTTTCAAGAAATGAAAATATACAAAGTATATGAAGTTGGATGTAAGCACTACTATATTCTTAATGGATAGAAGCCTTCCTATGACAGCCGATCAATTGGTGTAATTAGTTTCTACGTACGTTTCAAATATATTTTATGTAGAACTAAATTTATATTGTTAAATGATATATGAACGTATGTTAGATTTGTTTTGTATGTATAAGAGTCATGAATGTACTAGTAGTTGTGTGATTTGTCGTAGTTAATAATTATATATAATTTACAGATGAGGGTAATTCCTGACAAATCATGGATAGATATCCCACGGCTTCATAGATTTCGTGACACACGATACAAGGAGGGATGTGAAGCCTTCATACGTTATGCAGAAATGAATCCGAGAAAATTAGCAAGTGGTGCTATGTATTGTCCTTGTTGCATGTGTAGGAATTTGAAATTGCTGAATAGTAATGATATACGGATCCACCTAATGAAATCAGGTTTTGATGAAAAATATAAATATTGGAACTGGCATGGGGAAGGTATCACTGAAGATGAGGATCCAAATGTGCGTGTCGGTACGTCCGGTGGACAACGAATAGATGACACAGAAACAATGTTGAATGATATTTTTCCTCGACCTAGAGAATTTGAGGGTGATGATAATGTCGAGGATGATATCGGAGATAAAAGTGAAGATGATATCGATGTTGAAGCTGAAGAAGTAGGAGATGATGGAAGTGCCGAAAATATAGATGATATGCATTCCTCCGCAGAAATAGAACGAATATTGAAGCTACTAGAAGATAGTGAAAAGGACTTATATGAGGGATGTACCGAGTACTCCAGATTTTCATTTATGCTAAAACTCCTACACATTAAGACACTTAGCGGTATGTCAGATAATTATTTTGAAATGCTTCTTGATTTGCTTCGAACTGTAATACCTGGAGGAGTGAATAGCATACCCCAAACAACTTATCAAGCTGAGAAGATTGTCGCTGCTCTGGGTCTAGATTATAATAAGATTGATGCATGTCCGAATGATTGTATTTTGTACCACAAGGCCAATAAAGACCTTCAAGAATGTCCGACATGTGGAGTTTCTAGGTGGAAACAACGTACAAATTCTTCAATAAGGATTACAACGGAGACAGAGATAACACAGAAGAAAATTCCAGCCAAGGTGCTTCGACATTTTCCATTAGCTCCTAGATTGCGAAGATATTTTATATTTCGTATTCATTAGTGAATTTAACTGGACTTGGCTTAAATATATGTACGTAGGTAATCACTGAAGCTAATTTGGAAACACTCGTACATAATAAAAGAGTGGAATTAGACCTTCTCTTGAATATGAAGGGGGAAATATTTCGTGGAAAGTAAGAGGATGTTAATGGTGATGATGTAGATGAGGATGACGGGGATGAGGAAGGTGATAAAATGGAATTAAAATTATTTAATTAAAATTGGTTACATTTTTATCATTTTCATGTAATTTCACAAGTTTTTTAGGAGAAGTTAAAATTGTATTAAATCATATGTAACAACTTTCTTGTATTTTACTTTTGTCACCACTTACATGTATACAAACACCTATAATGTTGAAATCAAGTCATTTTCTCACTTTCATTTTTTACTTGCATGCAAGCAAACATCCTCTTAAGGGTAATGATCTCCCTTTTCATCCAAAGACTTGGATGATCATCTCAATAAATTTTCATGTCAGAAGTGTAATGAATAAGATAGTTAAGTTGCAAAGTAGGTTGTGGGTGTAAGTAGAAGATGAATGGTTTTTTCAACTAGTGCAGTAAGTTCCGTGCACATTTGCAGCATCTAAACTCTAGTAGAATAAAATAGCGGCAATGCAGAAGGAGAAAAGAGTTGTGAAATAAA